GGACTCTCTTTGTGCTGCCAGTCCTACTGTCACGCGTTTCCTTGCTGCTATCGTCAAGGACCCTTCTTTCGAGTCTTCTGCTGCGTATGCCCTCGTTACTGAGCTCGTCGACTTTGCTGCTCGCTGTCGCCTAGATTACGCTGCTAGTCTTGTCGCAGAGTCTGAGTCTGTCTGTCCTCCGTCCGTCGGGGGTGAGTGTGCCCTTGGCACGGACGTCCTCGAGGACAGGTAGGAGGAGTTCTAGTGCCTGGCAGCCGCTTCACCGCATCTCTTGTCCGTACTGCTTACCCCTGAGGGAGACCCGGATGCACTTGACATCCCGACTCCGCGCTCTTACGCGGAGGCGATAGAGGGTCCCTACTCCTCTCAGTGGCAGGCAGCTATGGATGCAGAGATGGCTTCCTGAAAGTCCATAGGCACCTACGTTGACGCTGTCCCCCCTCCTGGGGCGAACATCGTCAGTGGCATGTGGATCTTCAGGGTGAAGCGGCCGTCGGGTTCTCCGCCTGTCTTCAAGGCGCGTTACGTGGCTCATGGCTTCAGTCAGCGTCAAGGGGTTGACTACTTTCAGACCTTCTCCCCCACCCCGAAGATGACCACTCTTCGGGTACTGCTGCACGTTGCTGCTCACCGTGACTACGAGCTGCACTCTCTCGACTTCAGCACTGCTTTCTTGCAGGGCAGCCTGCAGGAGGAGATCTGGCTGCGCCACCCACCTGGCTTCACTGGGTCTTTCCCTCGCGGTACCCAGTGGAGTCTCCGGCGTCCAATCTACGGTCTTTGCCAGGCGCCCCGTGAGTGGCACGACACACTGAGGACTACGCTTGCGGCTCTTGGGTTTGCTCCTTCTACAGCCGACCCGTCGCTGTTTCTGCGCACCGACACCTCTCTGCCGCCGTTCTACATCCTCGTGTACGTCGACGACTTGGTCTTTGCCACAGCTGACACTGCTGGACTCGCCTACGTGAAGTCCGAGCTGCAGAAGAGACACACGTACACAGACCTGGGTGAACTGCGCAGCTACCTTGGCTTGCAGATCACCTGGGACAGAGCACGCCGCACCATTACCCTGACTCAGTCACACATGGTGCAGCAGGTCCTTCAGCGCTTCGGCTTCACGTACTCCTCGCCGCAGGCCACTCCTCTGCCTACTCGCCACTCGCTCTCAGCTCTGCCTTCGGATGAGTCCGTAGAGTCGAGTGGCCCGTATGGAGAGCTTGTTGGCTACCTCATGTACCTGATGACCTGCACTCGGCCTGACCTTGCATACCCTCTTAGCATTCTCGCACGCTATGTTGCTCCTGGGAGACACCGACCAGAGCACATGGCTGCAGCGAAGAGGGTGTTGCGCTACTTGTGCAGTACGTCGGGCATGGGGCTAGTGCTTGGAGGGCGGAGTCCAGTGGTCCTCACTGGGCACGCGGACGATTCTTGGGCTGACGACCAGGCTACGCAGCGGTCGTCACAAGGTTACACCTTCAGCCTTGGTTCCGGCTCTGTTTCGTGGCCGGTTACCTGTTCGTCTTCTGTTCTCGGCTCCAGTTGTGAGGCTGAGATCTACGCGGGGCTATGGCTGCCCAGGAGCTTCGCTGGCTCACCTACCTGCTGACCGACCTTGGAGAGCCACCTCGTTCTCCTCCAGTCTTGTACGTAGACAACAAGGCCATGCTGGCCTTGTCTCGAGAGCAGCGATTGGAGCACAGGACAAAGCACATTGCTCTCCGCTACTTTCTTGCTCGTGAGCTACAGTAACGTGGACAGTTACGGCTTGCGTACGTGGCCTCTGAGGCCAACACTGTTGATGTCTTCACCAAGGCACTTGCGCCTTGTGATCATCAGCGCTTCTGCACTCAGCTGGGTCTTGTGCCTGTCTTGCCTCACTTGCTCACTTCTTGACCTTGCTTGTACTGTCACATATATATACTCTTGGTCTTGCTTGCTTAGCCTCTTATATATATATGTGATCTTGCATGTGAACTGGCCTTTTGGCCTTTGAACTTGTGCTTGGAATGTGTGGTGACTTTGTGATCCACCCTGAGCTTTGCTTTGCTTTGCTTGACTGGTCTTGTGACGCCTTGTTCTCCCCCACTTTGCCTATGGGGGTGAGTTAGAACATTATAGCTTATGCTATTGTGTAGGCTATAGTGGGGTATCCCATAGGGGGTACAACCCAATTAGGGTTTCATATTTGTACTCACTTCATGCATAGTTCATTCATCCTCGTTCTCATTTTCACAGATAGCTTCATCACTTGGCCGGGGGGTAGTTGCTGATTTGTTTGTGTCGAGGGAGAAGGTGTGTGCGGCGGTATCACGGCTTTTCTCAGCCGATTGTCCAGGTTGTTCTGGTTGGGAAGAGTTTCCCGCATCGCCTTTGCGCAGTTCTTGGAGTTCTTTCTCCATAGTTGAAAGTCGAGCGAAAAGTTGCTCGAGGGCGGCAGTGCCGATCGTGGTTGTCGCCTCACTTGTCGCAGCTGGATTGGGTTGTCCTTCAGCCGTCAGATTTGCTTGGCCTCCGGATCCTCCGGCCATCTTGGTCTTGGAGCGTGTGCCGCTCGCCAGGTTTTGATTCGGCGAGTTTTACGGAAGTGAAGTTGCGAAGAATCCCTGAGTAGCTCTCATACCATGTTACAATCCCAAGTGGGACTTAGCAAAGGATCGCTCAGGGTTGATCGCAGAGTGGTATTGCAGCGGAAGTTTAGACCTCAGGTCAGAGTGAATGTAAATGACTGAGATGATAATAACATGCATACATCGGGTTTATATACCTAAGAGTACAAGGGAATACGAAAGGACCTAGGCTAGCCATGTACTCTAAGGGGTACTTTCCCTTATTGTGACTGAATTCAAAGAGAAAAAACCGTGCGTCGCGGGAACCCGTTCATAACCTGTTCCCGCTCTTTTCATTTTAACTGTTTGCATCGGTCTTGGTATGACAGTTGCTGTGTCGTTTCGGCTCTTTCTGACTCCTCAACTTCGTACTCGGTAGAGTCGGCTCCTGCAGCATACAGGAATGCCTTCTCATAAAACTTCACATCGTAACAGTATCGTAGGGCATGATGTGGGTCCGCTGGGTCATCATACGCTGTGCCACAAACACACTGCCCCGCCACCTGCAGCTGCTGAATTGGGAGTCCGAGCCGTATAGCAGCAGCAAGGCCCCACTCACCCCCACTTGTATTCTAATAGAGAGTACCCACAGCATATTGATAATTGTAGCTAATGTCAATTGTGTTCCTCGTGTGGGAATCTCCCACATAAAATTTTATGTTTGATTGTTTGCTGGACGTGGAAGATAAGCTCCTTTGACAAAAGCATCCCCCCTTCTACCCCGGCCACTCTCCTTCCTCCCCCCAACATCATCCCGAAGTGGCCCAGTCAAGTAAGATGGGACTTCCGAAGGATGAGATTCCAGGTTCAAACCCTAGTGTCGGTGAGTTCTGCCAGCCCCTCAGAAGGGGGTTTCGTACTGCTCATCTGGGAGTGGATATTCCTTACCTCGATACCCAGCGAGTCGTGTAAATAAGTGGGTAAGGGAATTAAGATCGACAGCCGGGGTAATACCAAGGGGGGTTTCCCCTTTAACTTTTACATTTACCTCCCCCCAGCACCAACTGTGCCCCCCAAGCCCGCAACTCACATTTCCTTGCACGATTCATGTGAAAATCATGAAGATGGAAAATATTGTTATGGTTACCACTACAGAGGAGATTGCGCAGAATGCAATATCGCGAAAGTGATTACAACGTCTAAGCAAACATTGAGCCTAGGACTAATATAGCAATGCTAGCTAGGCCAAGGCCGCGGAGTCGCGAGATGGTTGTGTGCAGGTTCGGGGTTGGGAAACCCGAAGGCGACGCGATGGTGGTTCGGAGGGCAAGGTCGTCGGACCGAGCCTGTTCTCCGGAAACTGGAGTTGTATGCCTGTTTGGTGTGACTCATTAAGGAATCTTGGAAAATTCCTTACAATTTTTGTGTAGCAAGAAAATGAGCATCCCCACACCACACCCACTCCACTCCACTTCACCTCCACTCCCAGCTCGAGAGACCAAGTCATGTAGTTATCTCTACAGTTTTAGGGTTGGCCGCATTAGCACCACTACACAATTCTCTCGTCCATATCTCCGCATCGCGAGCCCGCCACCTGCATTTGGTACTATATTTCCACCGAGCCTCTGCTACCGACTTTTTTAACAAAAACCGTTGTGCTAGGAGCCCACCTGAACGTTTAGCCCGCTGCCATTGCCGTCCCTAGGGCCGCCACCCTGTTGGCGGTAAGTTGCGGCTTCAGCATCAGCAAGGGACAGCGGCATTTGTACTGCGCGATTCGGTTACACTGGAAGAAAGACAGTCCATTTGCGATTTTCCCGCATCTCTTTTGTCAGCGGGCAGCCTTGCAAAACACGCTTTTAGTTTTCTTTTTCAATCTGGCTGAAATTGACGGGAAGTCGGGGACAAGCGTCCAATTCGCGAGCCGTTGGCCGTCGCGTCTTCTTAAGGCTTCGTTAGAAGGTTCTTCGACTGTAGCGCACTGTTATGGCGAATCGTCGCAAGTCACTCGAGGTGCCAATCCTCGTGCACAACCGTCCATCTCTCGCCAGCAACGGTCTGAATAGCGTCGGTCGCGCTGCCGCGCCGAGATACGGAGACCGGGAAGACGGCGATTGGCGTAGGCAGGAGCAGCAGCAGCTACAACAGCAACAGCAACAGCAACAGCAGCAGCAGCAACAAGCCCGGGACAGAAACGAGGAGCCGCAGCAGCGGCGGCAGCCGGCTCAGCAACCGGCCGTTGCTGACGGCGACGACTATTACGACGGCGGCGGCGGTCGCGCGTCCGGCGAATGCGATGATTTAGCTAGCAGCGGAGGCAGCGGCAGCAGCGACGCGTGGGAGGGCGCGGACGACGGGTACGACGGCGAGCGGGATCCGCGCGCTTACGCTGACGGCGACTGGCGCGCACAACAGGGCGGAAGAGACAGCATAGCCCGCGGGGACTTGGGGATGGGCGGCGGAGCCGGAGGGGAGACGCGGGGAACGGGGGGAGGCGGCCGCGGCGGCGGCGGCGGCGGCGGAGGCGGGGGAGGTGATGACGGGGACGCGCGGGGCGGTGGAATGGGGGCGGATTGTATGGATGGCGCGGACGGGGAGGGGGAAGGCGGGGAGGCCGACATGAGCTGGGTGCGGTCCGTATCCGGGCCTGATTCGGACGATACTGTGTGGGTGAAGATTGCACTCGTTGGGGACCCGGATTGTGGCAAGTCGAGCTTCATGGTGCGTGCTGGGCTGTGCGTGCGTGCTGGTGGGTATGGTATGTGCGCATGGCATGTGGGCATGTGTCATCAACCACCCACATGCGCATCAACCACCCACGCGCATTGCATTGCATTGCATGCGTCCACCCCACCTTTCCAGGCCCGTTTATTCGAAGAATCCGACAGCGATCTCAGCGCCAGCAGCGGGACCGGCAACGGCGTTGCTAGCGCGCCAGCCAACCGCAGCAGCAGCAGCAGCAGTACGAGAGGCAGCGGGCGGGGCAGTGGTGGTGGGAGTGGTGGTGGCAGTGGGGGTATACCGGTTGACGGGCTGGCAAACGGGCAAGGGCAGACGAGTGGCGGCGGCGGCGGGGGAGGAGGGGGAGGGGGAGGAGGCGGAGGAAGGGGAGGGGGAGGAGGGGGAATGTGGTCAGCAGCGTATGCGCCGACAGTGGGAGTAGAGTGTCACCATCACAGCATCGCGCTGCCAGCCTCCCCCACCCCTGCCACCATCGCCATTACCTCCTGGGAACTCTCAGGTGCTCAGGCGCACTTGCTCGCATCCCTTGATGTTGAGCCATGCTTTGTCGTGTTGAGCCATGCTGTGTCGTGTTGAGCCATGCTGTGTCGTGTTGAGCCATGCTGTGTCGTGTTGAGCCATGCTGTGTCGTGTTGAGCCATGCTGTGTCGTGTTGAGCCATGCTGTGTCGTGTTGAGCCATGCTGTGTCGTGTTGAGCCATGCTGTGTCGTGTTGAGCCATGCTGTGTCGTGTTGAGCCATGCTGTGTCGTGTTGAGCCATGCTGTGTCGTGTTGAGCCTTGCTGCGCCGTGTCGCGTCAACCCCTGTCGTGTCTTGTCGTGCCCCCAATGCTGCCCCTCCCTTCCCCTCCCCCTCTTCTCCTTCCCCCCACCCCGTGCACACGCCACGCCAGGCCGCCGCCAGTTCGCATCGTTGCTGCCCTTTGTGTGCAACGATGCGGCAGCGCTGCTCCTCTTCTTCGACCTCACTCGCCCCTCCACCCTCCGCAGGTACCTTGCCTGCTACCTCTCTGCCTGTCTGCATGAAATGAGCCGTGTTTTGAGTCGACTCAAAATCCGCGTGAGATGAGCCGTGCTTTGAGTCGACTCAAAACATCACTCACTTGCCTGCTACCTCTCTGCCTGCCTTCCTGCCTGCCTTAATGTAGCCTGGGATGTTTTTTTTTGTAGCACGTGCTCGCCGCAATGTAGACTCAGACGTAGTAGTAGAAGCATGCTGCTTTTGGGGCGCCTCAAAATGATCACACGAATCTCACTTTTGAGGCACCAAAAAAACTCGTCTCACTTTTGAGGCGCTTAAAGAGTCGCTGCACTTCACCACTTCACCACTTGGCTCAAAGCATGCGCGCCTCTATGCAGTCAGAATTGTATGTGAAAGGACTCTTCTGACATCACAGGCACTACGCCCCTCAAGCAGCACACGCTTCTCTCGGCCTCCTCCTTTATATTCACCGGTTCAAATCCCTCATTACCCCTCTTCAACCAACCCGTCTCCTCTCCCTGCCCCTATTTCTCACCTCCTCTCACCTTCTCTCACTTCCGTCCACATCGCAGCATTCAGTCATGGTACTTAGAAGCCCGGGCCCTCAACCAGGTATTATACCAACCAACCATCCCACATCCCCACCCTCTTGCTTGATCCCATCCCCTTCATGTGTGCTCTGCTGCCACTCATCTTCACCATGGTCGCTTTCCCCTCACATCCTTGTGTGTTTCACCTTTCACCCCGCCTTCATGCGCACGCACATGCTCGTGAGAAAAACCTCAAAAAGCATCTACTCCACGGCACGGTGCACCCCAATTGGCCTTGGCGGCTCTTCTGTGTCGTGTCCCCCCTTGTTCCATTGTTCCGTGGTCTCATCGGTCTTGAGACGCCTCAGAACTTCTGTCAGAGGTCATGACTGCTACATGTCGCCTTGTTTCGTTTCTCCCTGGTTGCACTGTCTTCCCCATCCCTCGGTGCCCCGCAGTGTGCTCTCCCTGTGCTCGTGGGCACCAAGTTTGACCTCTTCTTGCTGCAACCACAGGAGACGCAGCACCGAGTTACCAAGCAGGTACATGTGTGTGTGTATGGGTGTGGGTTTGTGTGTATTTTTGTGTGTGTGGGTGTGGGTGGATCAGTGTATGCGTGTCTTATGCATGTGAACAAGAGAGTGTTGGCATGCAGGTTCATCCACGCAGGCCCATGCATGCATCTACATGCATCTCTGATTGCACAGACGCAGCAAATATGTACTCCTTGTAAGCACCCCCTTTCTTTTTTCTAATGTTCTTAGCGATTGCTCAACTTGAGCGGTAATGTGACCTGCAAGCCTGTTTTCTGATTGGCTCTTCAGCATAAACATCAACAACCAATCATTCTCACCAGGTACCCTTTCCCATGTACCCTTTTCCAACCGTCCTCTTCCCCTCCTCTCCCACGATCCCACTTCACCCCTTCCCTCCACCCCACCTTCCTTCCGCCCAATCCCGACTCCCCCCGCTCCCCCCTTCCTATCAGGCAAAGCTGTGTGCGAGGGCCATGCGCGCCCCTCTCGTGCTCTGCTCTGTGCCGCACAGAGTGAACGTGCATAGAGCCCTGCACATCATCCTCTCGCGCCTCTTCAGCCTTCCAGCACCACATCAACCGTGCACCACCTCTGGGGAGCCCCTCCTCTTCCCATGACTCTCATGCGTCTCGCGGGAAGGAATATCAAGTGTTGAGGCGTCTCGAAAACGCTCATGGGAAGGCTTATATTCTTGAGGCGCCTCAGGAGTCGCCGTGATCTCACCATCTTTTGTTTTGAGGCGCCGCAAGAGTCATCTCTCTATCTGCAATCTGGATGCGCTTCAGATGCCTTTTCGTTTCCCCTAAAGCCTTCTGGGCGTCTTGTGTGCTACTGCTGCTGCTGCTGCTGCTTCTGCTACTGCTGCTTCCGAGAAGAGACCCTGAAGGCATTTGCGCAAGTCCTTCTCTTCCCACCCATCCCTGCTCACAGCACCACCTCTCCTCACCACCATCAGGAACACAAACTGCTGCTGCTCCCCACCCAATCACTCCAAACCCCCCGCACATATGTTGCCATAATTAGTATAGTGAAAGCTTCAGCCCACCGCTTCCATTTCTCCTCCCTCCCTCCCTGTGTCCTGTCCTCTCTTCCTCTCTACCCTGCATCCCTTAATCCTTTTCTTCCTTCCCCTCGTTTCAACCCACCTCAAGCATGCACGCCTATGTGTAGAATATTCCAGCCATCCCAGCACGATTTGCTACATTTATCCCGTGAATTCTGACTCCCTCCCAGCGCTCCCAATTCGATTGTGAAGAGGCTAAGCAAGCACTCTCATATGGAGGCTGTGCATTTGTTCACATCCTTTGTTTGTTCATTTGTTACATGGTAACATGATGGAATGAGGCAGAGGGAGGCTGTATGCTTGGGGGTCCCAATGCACTGCCTGCCTATCTGTTTCTGTTCTGGCCATCATTCCACCCTCGTCCGTGTTCCTTGATCAAATTTGGTTTTCAGTGCAATATCTGGCGCATAGGCACCTTGCTTATGATTCTTTGCAGAAGCATGAAATCAAGGCGGTTTCATATTGCTTATAATTACGGAAGGTTTCTTACCTTGGCTAGCTGGGTGTTCAGGATTTTGGTAGAAAATATTGTACCATTCCTGTGATTTCAGTGCGCAGCGCATCATCAGAACGCAGTTTATAATGCCGGCTGTAGTAGTACCGCATTTGCGACAAGTGACAGTAAACTAGAAACTGAAGAGTGGCCCGCGGGTGAGACTTCCACGACGATACGACAATAACCTTACTGACTTTCGGTACGACCCTCTGTAAGTTTACCCATATTATCAACCTCACCAAGGTACATACATTTACACACCAGGGTTCTGAAACTAAATACCACAGCAATCACTGTATAAAGATGACATACCCGCCAACCTCGCTCACCACCACTTCTTTTCCTGCCTCTTGGCAATCTCGGCTGCAAGCTTGGCGAAATCGGCAGCCCCTGCATTGAGATCCTCTGCATCTGATGCCAGTTGCTGCACAGAGCGGGCAAAGAGACAGCAATGGGCAATGGGCAGTGGGCATATGAAGTAGTATTTTGAGGCGCCTCATAAGTCAACATCGGCAGCTCCTGCATCGAGATCCTCTGCATCTGATGCCAGTTGCTGTGCAGAACGGGCAAACAGACAGCAATGGGCAGCCAATACATGACGAACTGAACTGAGTCGCTTTTAAGAATTATCAAAAACGGGCAAACAGACAGCAATGGGCAGCCAACACATGACGAACTGAGTCACTTTAGAGAATTATAAAAGCGGGCAAAGAGACAGCAACGGGCAGCCGGCACCTTTGAGAATTCTCAGAAGAATTGAGTCATGGAGGGGAGGAGTGTAGATAGCAATTTGACAAGTGGTTGGTTTTACAGGTGAGTATGGAGGAGGTGGCGGGCGGCTAATTTTGTCTTACCTTGAGTTTCTCGCCCCGCATGATAAGCTTATCACGAGCATCTGCAGCTGCTGAAGCTGCATCCTGCACAACGGTTGAGAGAGTAGAGTGAGGGAGCAGAGAGCGAGGGAGTGCAGTGAGGGCATGCAGAGCGAAGCGGACTCACGGAGGAATACCATGAGTGGCTATACAACGGCGCTGGTGCAACAACAGCAGGCAGTCAGTCGGGGTGTGGTAGAAACCACTTTAAATAGCACACAACCCCACCACACACAGGCCTGGTTGCCAACTCTCCCTGCCATCTTTCTTCCTGCCTTCCCAGCGACCACCTACCGTGCCCTGCTGCCTCTTGGGGTAACCATAGGCCGCTCTGATCTCATCAGCCGTTCTCGTTTTGGCCGGTGCACCACCCGACATCAGATCCGCTCGCATAGCCGCGGTCCCACTCGGCTTCCTCTCCTGCCACGACCCGCCAACCGGGGGCGCATCCCCCTGCCCTGCTGCTGCTGCTGCCGGTTTGCCGAATCCGAAGAGGCTGAATATGCCGGTGTCGGCAGCGGGTGCGGGGCTAGTGGGTGCGGATCTTCCGGATGAGGGCGTGGGAGTGGGACCAGTGGTGGTGGGTTCGATGACTAGGGGGGGTAGTCCGGTGGACGTTGTCAAAGGCGTGTGGGGTGCTGGAAGGGGGGTAAGGGAGATGGGAGGGGAGGAGAGGCGAGGCGAGGAGGAGAGGGGAGAAGAGAGGAGGGGATGGGAGGTGAGGGGCATAGAAGATAAGGGAGAGATTTTGAGGTTGGAGAAGTCTGATTGCAGGGAGAGAGAAATTAATGTACAATCCTTGTGAAACGTTTGTGCATGTAGTCGGGCAAAAACGGCAGGTGAAAGAAGGAAAAAGAGCAGCGACCGCACAAAGGAGAAAGAAGAAGCAGCGTGAGTACGGGTGGTGGGTGGGAAACACACATGGAGCCGGAGGATCGTCCATGTGAGGCTTGGAGAAGAGCAGGTCTTGGCCATCGGAGGGAGGGAAGGGCGCGGAGGCAAAGAGGGCCAGCAGCTCAGAGGACGTGTGGATGGTGGGCGCTGCTGGCAGCTGCAGCAGCGCCTTGCCCATCGCCTTCATATTCCCCAGGAAACCCTGATTGATAGGGAGGGAGAGGGGGAGGGGGAAAGGGAGGGAGGGAAGGAGGGAGGAAGGAGGTGGTGGGTGAAGAGCAGGAGAATTGGCAGTGTCGGCAGCGGCAGAGGTGGCGGCAGCGGCAGAGGTGGCAGCAGCGGGTGCCCCTGGGTCATTTGCCCCAGCACATTGTTGCGATTTAAGAAACTCCTCACTGGAGTTCGTACTATTTAGCATAGAGAGCAAGTCACTCTGGAAATCAGGTCAATGTAGAGGTGGGGACACAAGAGAAGGGAGTGGGGGAGTGAAGCGAAGAGCCACAGCAGTGCAGCGCTTGAGACATGACGTCTCGTAAAAGAGCAGTAGGAAGAACGAATGAGGAAGAACGAATGAGGAAGACATGACGTCTCGTAAAAGACATGACATCTTTTTGGGACTGCGGAAGAACGAATGAGGAAGAACGAATGAGGAAGAACGAATGAGGAAGAACGAATGAGGAAGAACGAATGAGGAAGAACGAATGAGGAAGAACGAATGAGGAAGAACGAATGAGGAAGAACGAATGAGGAAGATTGAATGAGGAAGAACGAAAGCGGAAGAGCAGAGCAGCAGGTGGGAAGGGAGAGTGCGGTGCAGGCATAACAAGGAGGCACAGAGGAGGGTGCGGTTCAGGGGGAAGACTGAGAGCACGTGCCTTGAGCTTGGCCTTGGCAATGTTGGCTGTGATTTGAGCACCTTTCTCTGCCCCAGCTGCTGCCGCTGCCGCTGTTGCTGCTGATGAAGCTGGATGATGCTGTGAGACTGGGGATGCGATGGTGGGCACGTGCAGGCGCGGCAGCGATCCTGGCAGACTGCAAGAAGAAGAGGAGAGAGGGAGGAAGGGGAGGAAAGGGGAGGAGGGGGAAGGAGAGAAGTGAGAACAGGGGTGGGAACCAGTGGGGAGAAGAGGGGGAAGAGTACGTAAGGGAAGTTGGGAGAAGAGGGGAATGGAGTAATGGGGTAAAACGGTACAGAGAAAGGGAGAAAATGGGTGAGGCTAGTGGGAGCATGGAAGGGGAAGAGAGGGAGCAAGAGCAAGGACAAAGATACGGGTGGAAACGGGTAGCAGGGGATAGTGAAAAAAAGGTGGCAGAACAGTTCAGAAAAACGGGAAGCCGGAAGGAGCAGGGGTGCGGTAGAAGAGGAGGAGGGGGGACGGAGGAGGGGGGACGGAGGAGAAGGGGCAGGAGGAGGAGGAGGAGGAGGAGGAGGAGGAGGAGGAGGAGGAGGAGGAGGAGGAGGAGGAGGAGGAGGAGGAGGAGGAGGAGGAGGAGGAGGAGGAGGAGGAGGAGGAGGAGGAGGAGGAGGAGGAGGAGGAGGAGGAGGAGGAGGAGGCGGAGGAGGAGGTAGAGGAACTAGCAGCGTGTAGGAGGCTCACCCAAGCGCATTCTCGTAGGCATAGAGGGACATGCGCACCATCTCCGTCTCCCCCTCCAGCTGCATATATGGTGGGTGAGAGAGCAGATGTTAGGGGGATATAAAGCCGGACATATATGAGAATTCAAAAGAGGGACATGCACACCATCTCCGTCTCCCCCTTCAGCTGCATGTGGTGTGGGGCACACGGACATCAGGGCAAACGCACGAGCAATGGCTGAGGAGGCGGTCGAAACGGTATCGGAAAAAGGGTCATGTATGGACACCGTGCAGCAGGCAAGGGCTGTGAGTCCGCGTATGAGTTGACTAACCAGAAGAAAAGAGAACGAAAGAAAAACCACCAGAGTGAAGGGGAAGCAATGCGTGTCTCACAAGGGCAATGCGCGCGTCGAGAGAGATGGCGGTGGTGGTGGGCATGAGCTGCGAGGGCTGGAAGGACCAGCCTAGGTACTCTGAGAGCATTCCTCCTGACTCCACAGGGGCTAGATCAGGCAGCGTTCTGTGTGTGGAGAGGGGGGGGGGGAGGGGGAGGGGAGTTTTGAGGCGCCTCAAAAGGCTGGAAGGACCAGCCCAGGTACTCTGAGAGCATTCCTCCTGACTCCACAGGGGCTAGATCAGGCAGCGTTCTGTGTGGGGCGGGAGGGAGGGGATGGGAGAGACGGGATGAGGAGGAGAGGAAGTGAAGCGGAAGGAGAACAGGGAGAAGTTCCTAAACTTGGAGAAGGGCCAATGGAAGGAGAACAGGGAGAAGGGCCAATGGAAGGGGAGGCGATGGGGGGAGAAGGGAAGAAAAGAAAGAAGGGGGCAAAAGGGAGAGGAGCAAGGGTGTTAAGGGAAAGGAGAATAAAGGTCGACCTTGCTTCCGTATATTCTTTGCAGAAATTGAGCAAGAGACTGTGCGCAAAGAAGGGCGTCTATTTTAGGCGCCTCAAAGGGAGAAAAGGGAGGGAAGGGCGGACCTGACTTCCACACAGCCCTTGCCAGAGATGAGCATGAGACAGGGCGCAAAGAAGGGAGTATTTGACTGAGGCGCATTGTAAAGAAAAGAAGAAGAAGAAGAAAAGGGAGGGAAAGGCGGACCTGACTTCCACACAGCCCTTGGCGGAAAGGGGCATGAGGCCGGCCGGGCACAAACAAGGGAGTCTGACTGAGGCGCCTTGGAAAAGAAGAAGAAAAGAAAAACCGCAAAGGCTGACCTGACTTCCACACAGCCCTTAGCGGAGAGGAGCATGAGGCCGGGCGCAAAGAAGGGCGTGACTCCAAACGACCCCATCCACCTGGCCTCCCTGTCGCCCTCCTCTGCGTCCTCAAACACCCGCACCTTCTTCAGCAGACTCACCGGCAGGCCCTGCGATAAGGGGAGGGGGTGGGAGGGGAAGAGAGAGGGGGTTGGTGGGGAGAAGAAGTTTCGACACATCTGAACACTCGACTGGCATCCCTGTCACCCTCCTCTGCATCCTCAAACACCCGCACCTTCCTCAGCAGACTCACCGGCAGGCCCTGCAAGAGAAGGGGGCAGGGAGAGCAGGGGCAGAGAGAAGAGGGGGGGGAGAGTGAGGACGTGGGCAAGAAGGGGGGGAGGGAGGGTCGTGTTCCTTCCTTCACTGTATCACACTCGTGTGCTTCCTCGACTTCATCTACTATTACACCAGCCTCAGAAAGCAAGACTTCTAAGCAACGGAGGGATGGGGGAGTGATGAGAGAGAGGAGGGGGGGGGAGCGAAGAAGATGGAAAAAGGGTCCCACATCCCCTCGCTACTTTTCTCTGCTTTTCCACACCATTTCCTCCCCGTATCCTTGCACAACCCGCTCATCGCCGCCACACCCACCGCCACCCACCGCCACCCCCACCGCCACCCCCACCGCCACCCACCGCCACCTGCACCCCGTTCACATCCTCACCTTAACCCTCTCTGATTCATCCCACATACCTGAGGCAGGGTGGAAGCAGCGCAGAGAGCGAGGCACATGCGCGTAGCGAGCAGCACATAGTGCACTTCAGGAGCCACTGTGGGTATGCTCAGTGCCTCCAGCGACTCATACAGGTCGAACTCCTCCTCCTCCTCCCCCTCTTCCTCTGCCGCTACCGCCCCTTCTTCTGCCTCTGCTGCTGCTGCTGCTGCTTCTAGCTGCAGCTCTGCATTGCCACGAACAGCAGCAGCAGCAGCTGGAGTTGACTTCGAGTCCACTGCCTGGATAGCAGCCGCTGCAGCAGCAGTGGCGGCAGCACCACCAGCACCAGCAGGACCAGCAAAGCTCTGTGAAACAGCAGGAGACTCCAATCCACTCACACCCACACCTGCACCCGCACCTGCACCCGCACCTGCACCCGCACCTGCACCTGCACCTGCAGCCGCCCCATCACTGCCTCCACCATCAATCACCTCGTGAGCACCTGCCTTCCCTGCTCCTGCTTTGCCACCTGCTGGTTGCGCGTGAACACTGAAACTCAAGCTACCCTTGGCGTTGATTCGGATGCCAATACGGTTCTTCAGCCCCCACCCAATCCCCGACTTGCCTGCCCCTGCCGCTGCCGCTCCCCCTACTCCTCCCTCGCCTGCTGCCACCCCAGGACCAGCGGCAGTAGGGGTAGAGCTTTCCTTGTCTGCCAAACCTCCCCCTTTGCCAACCCTTGGACTTGCCACAGCTCCCGGCCACTTTTGCCGGCCAGGAGGAGCCGGCAGAGCAGCCTTAGCAGCTGCTGCCGCCGCAGCTGCAGCAGCAGCAACCTTAGCCGGGGGTAGAGGAAGCAGATTTGGCGCTGCTGCTGGTGCTGCTGCTGGTGCTGCTCCGTCTGCCCCATCTGCCTCTGACGGGGTATTCGAAGCAATGGGAGAGGAGGCAGGGTCATGCGTGGCATCTGTAGCAGCAGCGGCAGCAGAAGGATCTTCAGGGTCTTGGGGCGTAGCAGGGAGGTCAGAGGATGGGGTGGTTGGAGCCGAAAGGGCCTTATCCTGCTGGCTCGAGTCTTCATCACCAGGTGCGTTCTCAGGTTGTTTTTCAGCTGGTTGGCTCGCTGTGCTGCTGCTGTCAGGACCGCCATCAGAAACCATGTCACTTCCATTGCGCCCATCACCATTACCCTCCTCTCCCCCTCCCTCGGCCCTGCTTCCCCCTTCCCCTTTCCCTGCCTCGCCCCCCTCCTCCTCCCCATCCCCTCTATTAGCTTCTCCCATTACTCCATCTGCTCCGCCTTCCTGCCCCTCTGCTGTCAATCCATCGGGCCTTGAATCACGGGGAGTTGCAGAAGGGGACACAGCAACAGCAGAATCTTCAGTTGGGACCTGCGCCTTACCAACCTCCTCCCGTTCCCCCCCTTCCTCCACCTCCTCCCCCTCCTGCTGCTGCTGCTGCTCTTGCTGTGGCACGCGCAATGGTCGCTTGCGGGAAGAGCGGGAGGATCGAACGTGGTCCAGACGTACAGGAGCAGCGAGGCGGGGCAGAGGAGAACCATCGGCATCTGAAATAGAACAGCAGGCGTGGGTTGACCATTGAGGCCAGGGGCGCGGATGAGTCGAGAGCGGTAAGGCCAGGGAGGGTCAGGGAGGGCCAGGGAGAGCCAGGGAGAGCCAGGAGGGTTAGGGAGGAAAGCGGGGAAAGAAGAGCAAGAGTTTGGTTGGGAGGGAAGGGAGGTTGGGAAGAGAGGCGAAGTGGGACCGGGAAGGATGTATTGAAAGGAGAGATGGAGGGTGGCTGTGATAGAATTCTATGTATAGCATGCTAAGTGTAAAGGGGTTGGGGCTACACCCAACTTTGGGTGTAGCTTGCTTTGTAGGCCTACACCCAACATTGGGGTGTAGACTTGCAAGTTGGGGTGCCAATCCAACCCAGTGGTGTTGGAGCCCCCAAGTGCAAGTTGGGTACCCCCTCTTTGCAACCCACAAGTTGGGTGCCCCCTCCTTGCAACCCCCATGGTCCTTGTTGCAAGTTGGATGCCCCCTCCTTGCAAGTTGGCATAGGGACTTGCCAACCAACCAACTCCCCCCTTCCCTTTCACAGGCTGAGCTGAGTAGCGCATGGGGTACTAGATCAAGCCAAGGACAATGAGAACACCTCTAAAAACGACACACACACATTCACACATTCACACACAAAGAGCAGCGTGACCCAGACCCACCCAGACCCAGTACTCCCGCACCCCTGCCACCCTCACATTCCCCATTCCTTCACTCACCCAGCAGCAGCATGGCGACAGCAGGCGAAGCCTCCCGGAGTTTCACCGGGCCTCGCAGCAGCAGCTGGCCTGTAACAGCATCCAGCACCACAAACGACGAGTCCGACGCCCCCACAAACACCCCGTGCCCGCCCCCGCTACCTCCCGGGCCCCACTCGCCCCCTCCCCCGCCCCCCCCGGCCCCCCTTCCAGACGACGACTCCGAGGGGGTCGACGCGGGAGAGAGAAGCCCGGGGAAGGTGGTAGAGTCCACACTCCGACCCAGGGTGGACGTGGAGTAAGACGCAGGTGTGTTGCTGCCGTCGCCGGTGCCGAGACCAGGAATGCTAGGGGCAGAGCTTCTAGAGGTTCCGGGAGTGAGGAGACTCATGGCACCGGCAGAAGCGAAGGCGGAGGGCAGGTGCGCGAAGGAGATGGAGGAGATGGCGAGAGGAGGGGCGTTCCAGGGGCGAGGCATGACGTACTGGAAGACGAGCTTGAAGGTGGTGAGGTCGATGAGAGACACCTGCGATGGGAGGGGGGAGAGAGGGTGCAAAGCGGGCGGGCAGCGTATACTTGAGTCAGCAAGTGAGATCATGAGAGTTCCAGGGGCGAGGCATGACGAACTGGAAGACGAGCTTGAAGGTGGTGAGGTCGATGAGAGAGACCTGCGAGGGGGGGAAGAGAGGGAGAGGAGCAAGCTGGCTAGATATGAGTGCTCCTCTCACGAGAGTCCCAGCGGTGTGGCATGACGCCCTGGGAGACAAGCCTAAAGGTAGTGAGGTCAATGAGAGAGGCCCGTGAGGGGGTTATAGAAGGAACGGAGTGGACGAGCGGGGTAGATCTGAGTCGGCAAGTCCGATTGGGGCAGTTCCAGGGGCGTGGTATGATGTGATGTGCTGAGACACGAGACAGAGACAGCTGTGAAGGAGTGACAGGGAGCGGGATCGTTGGGAGAGTAGGTGATTTTCGAGTGGTGAATTGTGAAAATTATTTTAAGGTTCCGTGGCACGGAGTGGGGTAGACGATACAAATGACAGGTCACTGACGGGCCATGCTAGAAGTTACAGGACAAGCAGAGAGGCGAACTAGCACAGAGCAGGCAGAAGGGAAGCAGCATCGAGGGCTGGATAAATGCATGTGCTTGGGGGGTGGGGGGGTGTGAGGATGGGCGGGGGAGGGGGGGAGGGACAGGAGTAAGCAGAAAAGCAGAGAGGGATGAGGAGAGAAACTCAGATGGCAGAGAGTGAAGCAGCCAGAGGGAGAGTCGAGAAACAGGAGGATGGGCGCGGAGGGGCGGGGATTTGCAGAAGGGCAGGGATGGGTGGAAGAGCAGGGTAGACAGGAGGGGGCGGAGAGAAGGAAACGAAGGCGAGGGAACTCACGCCTGCTCGGTCGTCTCCAACAGCGAGGCGGGCAATGGAGGTGGCGAGGGCGACGGCACGGATGGCGCTGGCATGGATTCGGAACTGCGCCACACACTGGAACCCCGGCGCTGCCTCCTGCGCCGCCGCTGGTGAAGGGATGAATGGGAAGGGACGGGGCGGGACGGGAAGGGCAAGGAGAGGTACAGAGGGAAGAGGAAGCAAAGGAGGGGGATGATGGCGCTGGCATGGATTCGGAACTGCGCCACACAAGGCCAGCGCTGCCTCCTGCGCCACCGCTGGGGTGTGCAGGGAGGGAGGGGAGGGAAGGGAAGGCGGGGAAGGGATGGAGAGGGGAAGAAGGGGAAGGGAAGGTGTGGAGGAGTGCACCCACAACACGCACCCCAAAACGGCACCCACCCACCCACCCACCCACACACACACACACCTTGCCACGCCGTACCACCTTCCCACACACACACTGCTCCCTCCTCCAGCTCAACCTGAACCTGCCTTACTTGCAAAGGAATCCAGGAATTCGATCAGCAGTGAAGACCCACACCCACACCCACACCCACACCCACACCCACACCTTTCTAATGGACACCAACCACCCACCTCACACAGCCCCTCCGCCCGTAGCCTCCCCAGCGCACCTTTCGCTTCTGCCAACGTCCTCATCACAGCGCTGCCTCCCGTGCACTGCCGTCCTGAACGTCAATGGCAGTGCCATCCTCTGCAGCCTTGAGCGGGGCGTCCACCTCCGTGGCCTCTCGCACCGTCCCACCTTCTAGTGCCTACCCTCCACCGACCCCCCTTTCTAGCGCACAACCCCCCCATTTGTACCACTCACTGCAATTGCACACGTGTTACACTCCTATTCCTTCAACTCTGGACTTCCTCCACCTGTCCCCACCCCACAAAAGTCCTCCCAAGTCATTCAAGGCACGAAACCTGTGTTTCGTCCTTCTCACGTGAGTCCCCCACGTCCTGCCCATGGTCACCCTAGCACGCGGCTGCTGCATGTCGGTGCCTCCCGTGCACTTCATGCTGGCTGCCGCGCCCCCACCAACCCACCTTTCTTGTACACAAAGCCGTCCTGAACGTCAATGGCAGTGCCGTCCTCTGCAGCCTTGAGAGGCGCATCCACCTCCGTGGCCTCTCGCACCGTCCACACCCACACGCGGCTGGGCGTGGCGCTCAGCACAAATAGCTGCACCAGCCCGTCTCCATGCCCCACTGCTAGCAGCCCGGATGCCGGACAGAAGTCCAGTGCTGTCACCGGCTCGTACGGCTCCATCTGTGTGGGGGGGAGGGGGCCCATGGGGGAGAGGACACAGAGGGGGAGGGTACAAGGGGGCTGGGAGTGGCGCTGAGCACAAACAGCTGCATCAGCCCGTCGCCATGCCCCACTGCTAGCAGCCCGGATGCTGGACAGAAGTCCAGTGCTGTCACTGGCTCGTAGGGCTCCATCTGTGAGCGCAAGAGGCAGAGGGGGATGGGGGAGAAGGCACGGGGGGAGAGGGCATAGGGCATAGGGGAGAGGGAGGCATGGGGGCGAGCGTGGAGGGGGGTGACAAACAGCTGTACTGCGTGAGCCTGTTGCCATGGCCCACTGCCAGCAACCCTAAACTAGCTGCACTGCACAAGCACTGTCGCCAGCTCGTAGGGTTACATCTGTGTGCGCGGGGGGGGGCTGGGGAGGGAGGTATTGGAGGGAACGCGGAGGAGGGCAGAATGGCAGGTTCATGGGGAAGGGAACGGAGGGCGGGGAGGAATGACAGGGGGGAGGGGAATAAACGGGGGGGAGAGAGGGTACAGAGAATAGGACAGTACAAGACAGGACAGGGTAGTAAGAAGACAAGAAGCCCATACCGCAACTCTCTCTCTCTCTCAAGCGGTCCTTCATTGATGGGTTTATAAGGGTACAGGCATGGTAAGGCAGGTGCTAGATGGTCCTAGGCATGCAAGGGAGTCTACTATCAACTTCCGGACTGATGGTCCTGCAACTCTCTCTCTCTCTCTCTCTCTCTCTCTCTCTCTCTCTCTCTCTCTCTCTCTCTCTCTCTCTCTCTCTCTCTCTCTCTCTCACACACACACACACACACACACACACACACACACACGCACGCAGGCAATCACGCACCAGGAAGCCAATGGGTATGGCGGAGACGAGCGGCGCAAGGAGCGGCGTGGAGACATCGGAGATATGCACGAGGCCGTTGTGATGGCCCGACACAAAGAGGCAGAGGCCCAGGTCCGCTATGAGCTCCGTTGACTCCGCCATGCTTCCTCCGGACACTGGCCACTCCGTGCCGTGCGATAGGTGCGCTGGACAGCGCGAGCCTGAGGAGCGCGGCAGCTGAACGGGGGACGAGGGGAGGGAAGGGGGGAAGGGAGTGGGGGAGGGAAGGTGGGAGGGAAAGGGGGAAAGAGAATGCGGATGACGGGCTGGCGAGGATAGCAGGGGGCAGGGTACAGAAGGAGGGGAGAAGGGTTATGAGGGGGGGAGGACATGGGATGCAAAGAGGCAGAGGCCCAGGTCCGCTATGAGCTCTGTTGACTCCGCCATGCTTCCCCCTGCCACTGGCCACTCCGTGCCGTGGGATAGGTGCGCTGGACAGCGCGAGCCTGAGGAGCGCGGCAGCTGCATGGGGGAGTGAGGGGAGTGTGGGATGGGAAGGGCGCCGAGGAAACAAGGTGTGAGAGGGTGAAAGCAGCTGCATTGAGAGGGGTGGGACGCGGAGGAGTAAGGAGACAAGAGGGGGCAAGTGGGGGCAAGAGGGGCGGGCAGAAGGGCCGGGAGGGGGCAGGAGGGGGCAAGTGGTGAGGAAGTAAAGGAAGTAAAGGGAAGGGAAGTGTGACGAGAGGCACAAGGAGGAAAGGAGAAGCGAGAAATGCGCACCCGGAGCAGCACTTGAGCAGCGATGGAGTGGGGCTCAGCAATGGTCATGATGGCTGCAGTGGCGACTGAGTTGGGGCACTCAAACAGCATCGGCTCAGGAAGCCGCACCGCCCCCACACTCCCTGATGACGGGAACCCTGCTCCTCCCGCCCCCACCCCTCCCCCACCACCACCACCACTATCAGCAGCAGCAGCTGCTGCTGCTGAAGCCGGCGCTGGCACTCCTGCTCCAGCCACAGCAGCACCAGCAGCAGCAGGAGGAGCAGAGAGGCCAGAAAAGAACAGCTCGATCCCATACTCGTCGTAAAGGTGCACTTGCCCCGGGATAGTGAGCACCATGAGGGCTGCTCCCGGCTTCTTGCCAGCCTCCTTGGGGCGGGGCTTGGCCGGCACGTCTGGTGCTACGAGGATGTCTGCTACTGGGCCGAACCACGGCAGCTTTGTTCCTGACAGCTCTGGTAGGCCCGAGGGGAGAGAGCCCAGTGCTACGACCTGCAAGGAGGATGCAGAGGGAAGATGCAGAAAAGAAGGGCTTTTGAGACGCCTCAAAAGTCGTATCTTAACCCACGTCTGGAGCTAACAGGATGTCTGCTACAGGGCCGAACCACGGCAGCTTTGTTCCTGATAACTCTGGTAGGCCCGAGGGGAGAGAGCCCAGCGCCACCACCTGTGGGAGGGAGGGCGCAGAGGGAGGACGAAGAGGGAGGAGGTTTTGGCTTGAAAGCTGCTGCTGTTGAGCTTGGATACAGGGTGCCAGGAGGATGTCTGCTACAGGGCCGAACCACGGCAGCTTTGTTCCTGATAACTCTGGTAGGCCCGAGGGGAGAGAGCCCAGCGCCACCACCTGTGGGAGGGAGGGCGCAGAGGGAGCAGGTTTGTTAACGGCTGCAGGTATGTTGAGTCTGGTCTGGACGCATGGTGCAAGACAAGACAGGGTTGGAGAGCTGTGAAGGACAACAAGTGAGAACTGCTCACAGCGAAACGGCCAACAGGGGCAACATGCAGAACACGCAGAACACACAGGCAGGCACTGCAAGCCAGCCTTCCCTTCCAAGCAGCAGTGTGTATGAAGACGAGACAGTCTCACGCACCGCAAGGCGGGCGACCCTCAACCTCCCATTCCATACACCCTCCCTCCCCTAAGCGCACCAATCCACATCCCTCACCTCACACACCCCTCCCAACTCACATAGACAGTCTCTGGTGCGCCCAGCACATCGCCCCCAAACACATACAGTCGCCCGCCGCCCGCATATCCGCCCTTGTTGGCCTTCTTCCCCCACGAGTCGCTGTCACAGCACCACCTCAGGATCGTCACAGGCAACCGCTCAGCCTTGCCCCTTGCCACAAACACCTTTCTCAGCGGCCTCCCCAGCACTTCTGCTCGCGTATCTGCTAGTAGCGCGGCTGGTATAGGCTCTCCTACCCCCCCGCCACCAGTGCCACCCGTTCCCCCTCCGCTACCGCCGCCGCCGCTGCTGCCAGAACCGCCTGCTGCTGCTGCAGCAGCAGCAGGGCCAGTGATGCCAGTGGCACCGGTGCTGCTGCTGCTGGATAGTACAGGGAAACCCCATAGGGCCACGTCTCCGTCTGTATACCCCACTGCTGCCACTGCCCCCTGCTGACAAGCCCAGCACACGCTGCACACCTCCTTCCCTTCCACATCCTCCCCCTCTAGCGCCCTCTCCCTCTCCCTCTCATCCATCACCCCGCCCCCCTTCCCCCCGTCGCCTCCTCCCCCGGCTCCCCCTGCTCCTTTCCCGCCCTTCTTTCCTTTCTTCCCCTCTGCTGCGGCGGCCTCAGCTGCAGCGGCGGCAGCAGCGGCGGCGGCGGCAGCAGATGCATCGAGGAAGGCGGTGCGTTGGGCTCGAGTGCCTCCCCGGATGGCCACTGGTTGCAGGTAGTGCAGGTCCCACAGCACAAGCAGGCCGTTTGAATACGCTAGTAGCACTCTGTGGAGATGGAAGAGGAGCCGGGGGGAAGGGGAGTGGGGGGGAAAGGGGAGTGGGGGGGAAAGGGGAGTGGGGGGGGAAAGGGGAGCGGGGGGGAAAGGGGAGCGGGGGGGAAAGGGGAGCGGGGTGGAAAGGGGAGCGGGGGGGAAAGGGGAACAGGGGGGGAAAGGGGAGCCGGGGGTGGTGGGTGGAGGGGAGAAGAGAAACAGTTTAGAGAAACGTCTCAGAGCACGAGCAGGCAATTGAATACGCCAGTAGCACTCTGGATACACGATTAGTGTGAGGGGGATAGGGAGGAGAAGGAAGGCAAAAGAGAAGGTGATAGGGGAGGAGAGGAAGAGTCGCATGAGGTGCTTTAAATCCACGAAAAGAGTCCCAGAGCACGATCATGGCGTATAGGAGGAGAGAGGGGGTGCAGCAGACAAGGCAAGGCAAGGCACAGCAGGCAAGACAAGGCAGTACCTGTTATGTGGTGCAGAGGGCTGGGGAAGAATCGCAATGAGGGGGGCAGGGGCATCCAATGCACTCGAGGAGATGAGAGGGCCTGCACACACACACACACACACACACACACACACACACACACACACACACACACACACACACACACACACACACACACACACACAGAGTAGAGTGGATGAGGGGAAGGATGAGGAGATTGGGGGAGAGGAAGGCTGCATGGTATGATGCAACGAGAGTGATCTGTTTGGGGGGGGGGGAGAAAGGAAGAAGGTAAGTCAGGGGGAAACAGTATGGCCAGTTGTCACCGTTGCCTGGTTATGAGAGTTGCCAAGTTTCGAGCGTTGTCTAGTTTTCCATCTATGGTACCATCGCCAAGTTCTGGGTTCTGAAGAATTGCCTACTTCCGACTCATCTACTCATCTACCCATGAGACGTCAGTGTTGAGAGCGGCATGACTCACCGAGGGTGGCAGTGATGGGCACACGGTACGGCTTGATGGAGAGTTCGCCTGCAGGGCCGTCGCTGCCGCCTTTGGCCGCTCTGCCTGGCTTGTCATTTGGTGTATACTCCAGCACATTCATCGCCCCCTCCTCGTCGCCTATATAGCTGCATTAAAACCCACACAGGGCGGCACGAGAAGCAGATTGACCACGCCAGAGCACCTATGTGGACGAATTACGTTAAGTAGCTGATCGGAATAACTTGTAACGGGATCAAATAGCTTTAGAGAGTGAATGAAAACAAACTGTGATGAGCAACGGTAGTGGGGGGGGAGCAGAATAGGGAGGGGATGTGTGTGTGAATGGGTTGGGTGGAGGATGCAGCGAGAGGAGCAGGCAGGGGCATTGGGGCGGGGCTTCAGTGCCTTCCTCTCATCCTTCCCTCTCCGCTCAAATCCCCCCCTGCATTACTCCCCTTCTGCTCTGCCCGTCTAACCACAACACTCCCTTCCGCTCCCCCCTGCCCCCCCATCCCCTCTCTCTTCCTCTTCCCTCCCCACCCGCCCCCTGCTCCCCCTACTCCACCAGTACCCCCCTCTTCTTTTCTTCCCTCCCCCATCCCCTCCCCCCGCCCCCCCTGCCAGCGCACGGACATGAAATGAGAGCTGGGGGCAACTGCGAGAGAAGTGACGTCCGCCGTCCACTTGAGAGACGCGCCCAGCTGCTTCCGCGACAGGTCCCACACCTGCACGCGGGGCGGAAAGGGGGGGGGATGGGAGGGGGGACGGGGACGGGGAGGAGAGGGCGGCGTGGCGGTTGGGAAAGGTGGGGGAGGGGGTCATGGGGAAGAGGGGCACGAGCGGGAGGGGATGGGGGAAAAGGGAGAAGGGGGAACGCGGGGAAAACGCAGAAGAAGAGGGGGGGTGGAGGGAGGGCGAAGATGAAGCAGAGAATGGGTAAGAGGGGGGGGGGATGAGGAGGGAGGAGATGATTGGGGGGGGAGGGGGGGGGGGGGGGGGGGGGGGGGTAGATACACATGTTTGCTGGCCTGCAGTCAGGGTGATCAGTTGTCACACAAAAGACGTTCACAATAGACCCAAGAGCGCAGCAGGCAGGGCCAGAACTGTTGTGATTGACAGCAGGCAGCGCAGCAATAGAAAAGGTGCTTGGGTGCTTGTATGTGGCGGGTGCACTTGCCTCGATGTGTTCTCTGCGTTAACCATGACTAGCAGACCACGGTTCACCATGTTTGAGGTGCCGCAAAACGAGAGGCAAAATCTAGAAGGCTCCTTAAAAGAGTGCACTTGCCTCGATGTCGTTCTCTGTGTTGACCAGGACTAGCAGACCACGGTTCACCATGAACTGTGCACGGAAGGCAGAGGGAGGAGAGTACAGAGACATCTTTCGGGATGGTAGAGCGAGGACAGAGGGAAAGACCAGGGTGGAGGAGGGAAGAGCGGTGGCAGCAGGGGGGTGAGAATGCGGGCAGTGGACAGGTGGAAAGTGGGAGGTGGGTGGGGTCAGGGACGATAGAAGGGCATGTGAAGGGAGGAAGCAGGTAGGGATGGGATGGGGTGATGGCGGGACGTCAGCAAGGAGGAACGGAATGAGACGAGGCAGGCTATTGCACGCGGAAAAGTGAGATCGGGGGAGAGTGAGGGAGAAGGAGAGGGAGAGGGAGAGGGAGAGAGTGTGTACATGAGAAAGCTGCGCGCGAAAGAGAGCACCTCAAGGAACTTGCAGTGGGCGCGGGAGGGCGAGGTGAAGAGCACTTCAATGCCGTCGCGCCCATACACCTTGAACCGCCCGTCGCTGCTCGCACCACTCCCCGTGGAATGGGTGGATCGAGGATGGGAGAAAGGGGGGGAACGGGGGAAGGCGGGGACGGCGGATGGGGGAAAGGGGGGGGACGGGGGAAGGCGGGGACGGCGGGAAAGGGGAAAACGGGGAAGGGGGAAAGGGGAAGGGGGAAAGGGGAAGGGGGAAGGGGAAAGGGGAAAGGGGAAGAGGGAAAGGGGAAGGGGGGATGACAGTAGGGGAACGGGACATGAGTTTCAGCAGCAGCATGTATGCAAGTGCACCAACGAGGAGGGCTGTAACTGGCAGTGGCAAGCACTGGGAAGCAACGGACAGCAACGGCAACAGCAGTGGCAAGTGGTGCCATGGCAGCAGACGGTAAGCAATGGCGAGCGGTGGCGAGGAATACACATCCACCATTCGCGCCTCTTATGGTCATTCTTTTCCTTGCCCCCAGCACCCCCTGATTGCTTCCCATCCAGTGTCCTTCCCCGCCCTCTGTTCTCCCAAATTCCACTTCTTTTGCCTTCCCTCTCCACTCCCGATGCCCATCCAGCCTGCAATTCGAAACCCTTTCCCTTTACCCGCTGCTCTTTCCCTACTCCTGCTTCCCCCCTTCCTCCTCCCTCCGCACCCGGCCTTCATTTCCCTTCCCCAACAAGCCAACGAGCGCACCTAATACCGGTAGCCGTACCGCGTGGCCATGGCGAGCAGTCGCTGCAGCGGGTCGAAGGCAAGGTGCGTCGTCGAGCACGGCACGCCGTGATGCACGGCCACGCGCGGCTCCAGCTGCGACGGCTTCAGCGAGCCGGCCGGCACGGTCAGGGCGGCAGCCTTGAGACGGCGAGAGAGAGGAGCGAGACCGGGTGAGGGGAGGGACGCGCGAGAGAGTGAGGATAGGGCGGGGATGGGAAGGTGGGGAGGTGAACGAGGTTGTTTGTTAGGGATGCAAGAAAAATAATAGGAAAAACTTGCACTTCTAGCTCTTCTTTTCGGGTGTATTACAGTTTCACATCGTGAAATGGATGTCGAATTCCTTAAGAGAAGACTGATCAACGCATCAAGACACACCTCATTGACCTCGTCAACGGGACCGTAGGCGCCAGGAATTACCGCCGCGCCACCGACCGTGGCGGCGGCCGCTCCGAGAAGCCTCGCGAACATTGCAACGTGGCTGGCAGGCCGTTATGGTTGTGGATAGATGGTGCGTGGTCGATGTACTGGCTTCGGAGACGATACGACAGGAGGAGCCGTACGGAATGGGTGACGTCGAAGCGGGAGGGGACGTGATTAAACTAAAGACTAAATGCGTGACCTACGACATGGCAGTAAGCGAATCTTCTATATCACACAAGACGGGAGCGAAACTTGTCACAATTATCGCTCTTGAACACGGAAGATAACCGAATTTGAATTGTAAAAGAGCAGGTGTGGTTGTGGCACTCCCAGGGATCTGATGTGTGGTCTGCGGAAATCCTGAGGTAAAACGGTAGGGTTGCTCAAATCCATCAGAATTGTAGATCGCCAGGCTGAATCCATTCCGAACGAGAGCAACAAAGCACCTGAAACTCGCACAGTCAGCAGCAGACCTACCGAACCTCGCCACTCGGTTCGGACCGGGCAGTTTGCGTTGCGACGCTTGGCCACGTGCTGAGCATTGGCTGGACATTGGGGAGTTTTGGGCTGCTTTTCCAACCAGTTTCTTGCCTCCGCCTGGTTGGTTTACCGACCAAGACGAGGTCGGAGGTTGTAAATTGATCGTAATCAGATACAAGGTTGAACAAAGCAAATTGAACATGGCAAACAAGCCAACCCACTATAAGAAGGTGTGCAAAACCTACGCTATTCAACTGTTCTGTAGAACAGCCTCCTGGAGAGAGGTTTGCTCTGTACATACGATAAGAAGAAAAATTAAGGTCTAAAAGAATCGTTGAGCAGCCAAGAAACTCTAAAGTCAGGATGAACGCGCGGCGTGCCATCAAACGACATGTCAATGAAGCGAAGTTTTGTGGCCCGGGAGATGCAAGAAGCTGAGCGACGCTGCTTTTTGGCAGATTGTCTGGAGCTGCGCCAAAGGAATTTTTTAAAAGCGAGGAGGAACTGAGTGAGAATGAGCTGGAGCGTCTCGAAAGAGGTGGTGGAGGCATCGCGATATCTACGATCGCACCGATTATTCCATATAACCTTTGCCGCAGCACCAACGAGAAGACTCCAAGGGACAATTTGGCCAACCCTTGAAGCGAGAGGGAAGTAGACTTGTTCAGTGGAGAGATGAAGTCCGAGGTGGCGACGAGCAACTGAACGCAAGGCTAAAGTCGCAGGCACAGCTACCGGGCATTCAAAGAAGAGGTGCGAGAGCGATTCCAACGAACCAGTCCGACAGGAGGAGCAAATACCCCGATCGGCCGCGAAGGTGAAACGGGGCCCCCTTGGTAGGGAGCGAATGTAGAAGCGGAACAGCACATCCCTTTGTTAGCTCGGCTGGTCACGAAGGAAGGTGTGGGAGAGGTCAGGAAGGAGAGGAGGAGGAGGACCAGAGAGAGCCGCTGTCCACTGAGTATCATGATCAAGAGGCTGCCGCTAGTAGAGAAGGCGTCGGATGGCTGAGGGTGAAGGGATTCCTATCAGAGAGTATCTCCAGACGCGCTCCAAGCCCTGCACCTTCATGAAGAGGCCCAAACAGCCGGCGTCCCTGTACATGAGCGAACATAACATGCGCGATATCAAATGTGGAAATACATATTATTTCTTTTTGAATGATAGAATCCTTGGATACTTGAAAGATGTGTGCGATGAGCTGACAAGGTGGGGAGAAAGAGACAGCTTCAAACGCAAGGGGGGGTAGCGTTAGGGAGGCATTAACAGGGATAAACCAATCCCCGACTGCTACCTGGGGTGGAGGGGGGTCGGAGAGTAAAAGTTTCCACTCACGAGGAATCGCTTCAATGATCTCATGAAGGAGTTTACGACCAGCAGGGTAGTCAGAAGGTGGACCGTGTTCAATGAACTCCTCTTCAGTAATGGGGCGAGCAGCAGAGGAGGTAGAGCGGAAAATATGCCCTATCCTTAGTTGAAGGGAGAGGAGAAAGTGTTCTCCTTTAAAGCCCAAGACCTGAATTACTCAACGGAAGTCAACGCTAAAAGCTAGGTTCGGGACGCAGGCACGGAGAGGTTCGGTTGGGTTGCGAGAGACTTTCACTCGCGAAACCAATTTGTGACAATCTCGCTTCCCATGATGGCTGGGGCTCTTCCCACAACCAGAAATGCGCGAGCATACCAAACTGTGCACAGTTTGAGATAGCACGCAGAGTATTAGGTATAGACCACACCTGTAGACAGGGCAGGGCGTCGGCGTTCACTCATATGGGATCAGATGCGCCATACGATGTGGGTGGCGCGGATTTCGATGATGATGCGCAAAGCTAGTGTCCGCTGGATGAAGATTATTGTGTCGAAATGCAGGTTATTGTGCAACTAGCGTAATCCCACGGCGAAAATCGAATCGCCACCGTTCGCCCAAACGTGACCCTCCCTTCGCCCTCGCTTTCCTTTCCCACGCTTCCGCTCTTTTTTGCCCGCGTCGTCGCCCTCGCTTTCCTTTCTCACGCTTCCCCTCTCTTTCGCCCGCGTCGTCGCCCTCGCTTCCGCAGCTCGTCGCGTGCCCGTCGCCTTCGCTCCGCCCGTCGCCTTCACTTCCCCCCCGTCGCCTTCACTCCCCCCCCTCCCCCCCCCTTTTCTGTTGCCTTCATTTCCCCCTCTCCGTGATTCAGGTCTTGGACTTTAAGGGTTCCGAAAGGGATCTTGTTGGGCTTGAGAATTGAGCGGTTGAAAGCAATAGGTTCATTGAGAATACAGGTCGGATCAAGTCGGGGGGGGGGGGGGGGGGGGGAGGACAGTAGGTTTGAGAGAAAGGAGCGCAGAGAGTTTATCCCGGATTCGCGGGGGAGTGGAGGGGGGCAGGATACCTGGACGAAGAATGGCGTCATGAGCAACGAAAGCGTGAGGCCCGTAAGGCAAAGGGATGCACGTGCGGGCTACAGACTCCGCGGAGGAGGCGCCAAAGCGGCGTAGGACACGGTGTATCGAAAGGGCTCGTATCTGAGTGGAGGGGGCCGTTGCACCTAAACCACCATGTTTAACCTGGTTTACAGGATTCGTTTAGGGATTAGTTGCGTCATACGACCTTGTTCTTTGAACTTTGACGCTCCAAGGAAGGTATTTGTTGTGCGGTCAAGAGCTTTGCAAATCACTGCAGGAGCCGGTTGAAAGTGCGCAGGGAAGGAAATCACGGAACTAAGGTATGTAGAACAGAAATATATCCTACACATGGCAGTGGCGTGCAGTGTGGCAAGAAACTTAGCGATGCGTTGGACACGGGCAAGGGTTGTAGTCCAGGTGGTGTGCCCCGGGGAACCAAGTTCTACGAAGATCCCCAGTATACGTTCGGCTTTATGTGGGAGGCGGATCGGGATTTGGCCTGCTGTAGTGATAAGAGAGGATGGGATATTAAAAGGGATAATTGAGCATTTTTCCTAGTTAGGATATTCACCCGATACAGTGGCAAACTGGGCGAGGAGGGCAAGAGAAAGGGCAAGTTCAGAATTAGAATTAAGGAACATTGTAATATCATCAGCATAGCATGCCATGAGACGGCATTGTGTCGCTGAGAGGGCGAACCCAGAGAGGGAGAGGGAGGTGTAACGATGGAAGATTTCGATCATACAAATGAACAAGAGTGGTGCTAGAGGGCATCCCTGTCGAACGCCAGTGTTTACTGGGAAGACTGGGCCTTCGTTGTTATTGACTGAGATGCACGTGGATGTGCCTGTATGCATAAGGCGGACCCAGTGGATGAAGGCCTCGGGCACACCCAAATGTGCAAGGCATTGGAGAAGGAATAGACAATCCACCAAATCGTAGGCCTTGCGAAGGTCAACCATGAGGACTAGGAGGGGTGCATTGGTGAACAAGGCCCAGGCCCATAATGTAAAGAGTATCATTGATGGTATCCCCAATTTTCCGGTGCTGAATGAACGCCGTTTGGGAAGGGTGAATCATACACCGGAGGGCTTTTTGGAGTCTATTGGCAAGGCACAACGCGAGAATTTCGTAATTGGCATTCATGAGAGTGATTGGGCGGAGATTATCTGGCCGAGAGGAGTTGCCTTTTTTGGGAATGAGGACTGTGTGGCCACGGAGCATGGAAGGAGGCAGGGATGTAAATGGGACCTCTGGGTTGAAGAGCGAGTGGAAGGCTGGGGCAAATCTGGGCTTGTAGTGTTTGTAAAGCTCTCCGGGGAGGCCGTCAGGGCCTGGGGTTTTCCCTCGTGCGAGTTGGGAGATGGCTGTCCAGCCTCTAGGAGAGAGATAGGGGCGACAAGACGGGTGAGGAGAGAGGAGGGAAGATGTGTGCGGGGAATATGTTGCCAAAAGGAGGCGTCCCTCGAAATTGAGGTGCGACTGCTGTAGAGTGATTTGAAAAAATTGGTGCAAGTCATGGTCATTGTTGGCAGGTCCGATGTTGCTAGTCCATTCGGCATGGTGATAGACGAGATGAGAGAGGCTTTGGTGCGTGAGCCAAAACCTACTAAAAGTGAGGAGAGCCCCATTTCTCTATGACTTTCGATTTTGAGTTTCGCTTTTAGGGCCACTTCTGCCGTTTTCGACGCCTCATACGAAGCCAGTTATTGTTTAGCGCGTAGGAGGGGGTTTGTCACCGAGGGGTCTGACAGTTGAGTAGCTACTTGGAGTTGCAAGGTACAAATTTGCTGACGTAGGTGGTCCATAGTCTTAGAGACTCGTCGTCGCTCGTGGGAAGAAAAACGTTTGAGGGTGAGACAGAGGTTGAACTTCAACAGATCCCAGTCGATAGGGGTGGGAGAGGGAGGGAGGAGATTAAGATATTCATCGATGAGGCGAGGGAGCTTAGGTCGGCAAATAAGGGATGTGGTAAGGCGCCAAGGTCTTGGGGTGATCGCTGGATTATCAAACAAGAGTGAACAAATTGGGGCCAAGGCATGATCGGAAACTCCAGAGGGAGTCAGAACATACGAAGTGGCAGAGAGGCGGTGTTGCGCAGCGCGGGATATATAGGTTCAATCCAGGCGGGCTGCAGGAGGGGGTGCTAAAAGGGAGGCGGTGAAGCGGTGTCGGCTGAAAAAGGA